AACCAACCCTTAAACAACGCATCATTAATAAATGCCCGTCTACTTTAAGTTTGGGAAGGTTTTTGTCATTCATACCACCATGTAATGTAAAGCATTCTTATATTGCGGGGGTTGTAACTTTATGTAGTACACCGAAAATTTTTATTTCTTTGACAGATTATGTTTAAATAATCTGTAACCAAGCCTTAAACAACCCTTTAATAATAAATTTCCGTCTGCTTCAAGTTTGCGAAGGTTTTTGTAATTCATACCAGCATGTAAAGCACCCTTATATTGCGGGGGTTGTTACTTTACGTAGTACACTGAACATTTTTGTTTTTTTGATAGATTATGTTTAAATAATCTGTAATCAACCCATAAACAACCCTTTAATAATAAATTTCCGTCTACTTCAAGTTTGCGAAATTTTTTAAGTCATTCATACCTGCATGTAAAGCACCCTTATATTGCGGGGGTTGTTACTTTACGTAGTACACCGAACATTTTTGTTTCTTTGATAGAATTATGTTTAAATAATCTGTAACCAACCCTTAAACAACCCTTTATTAATAAATTTCCGTCTACTTTAGTTTTGCGAAATTTTTTAAGTCATTCATACCTGCATGTAAAGCACTCTTATATTCCGGGGGTTGTTACTTTACGTAGTACATTGAAATTTTTGTTTTTTTTTGATAGATTATGTTTAAATAATCTGTAACCAACCCTTAAACAACCCTTTAATAATAAATTTCCGTCTGCTTCAAGTTTGCGAAATTTTTTAAGTCATTCATACCTGCATGTAAAGCACTCTTATATTGCGGGGGTTGTTACTTTATGTAGCACACCGAACATTTTTGTTTCTTTGATAGATTATGTTTAAATAATCTGTAACCAACCCTTAAACAATCTTTTCTTAATAAATTTCCGTCTACTTTAGGGTTGCGAAATTTTTTAAAGTCATTCATACCAGCATGTAAAGCACCCTTATGTTGTGGGGGTTGCTACTTTACCTACTTGTTATTCAATGACTTGTAGATGCATTTCTTACTCTCAAGATCATGCCGTCTCTTGTTGTGGAAGGCCCCGGCATAGACTGTCTTTTACATATTCCCACAAAAAGAAATCTAAGTGGGAAAGATCCGGGGAATGAACAGGCCCTAGGTTTCCGATTCAATTCCCTGGAACCATGTAAAAACTCGGAAACAATGCCTGCATTATGTGCAGGGGCACCATCTTGTTGACATAGCAACATATTCCTGCTGTTCAACAACAATATTACGTAACATTTCCAAATAACGTCTGTATTAAAATTTTCTTGATACATATGGAAACACAGAATCTTGTTATTTTTCAACACACAAAACATTAAAACTCCAGACCCTACTTGGAGATGTAGGTACATACTTCTCGATTTAAAAAAAAGGATTTTCATCGCACCAGTAATGTGAGTTACGGCAATTAAACATGCCGTTTAATGGTAGTTGTTTACAGGGGCGGACTGGGTGCACCACAAAAACATTTTTTTGCTTCATTTTACTACTCCTTTTTCGGAAATCAATTACAATACAGTTTTTTTTAAATTGCAGCTGATAATTAAAAGTAACAAAATATACAATCCAAACGAGGCGCGTCGCCTATCATTGTATTTCAGCACTTTTATACTACGACAAAAAATGGTAAATTCATTGTAAAACACTTCAATTAAAACAGAATTTTTTAATTTTTTAACAACCTAACATCAACTCCAATTAGAGAAACGTGTTAATAATTTATTAATAGTGCAAGAAACTAAATACAGCACATACTTATAAATTTCCAACGGGCCATTATGACGTACAGGCCAGGTGGCAATCGCCACCCGCCCCCCCGGGCCAGTCCGCCCCTGGTTGTTTAGGGTTTAATGGACGCACTAATATTTAAACCTAAAGAAATTTTCGCGTTTCTCAGCGAATTAGTGGGGTACGCCGTGAAATACCCAATAGAACCAGGAGATATGTCCTGTCCTACAAAAATTACTTGCTCAAATATATAGGCTTTGGAAATTACTGTAGTAACAGTTTCTACATCGGAATCTTCTACGGCCTGTTTTACTATATCCTGTTTCCCCAGTTCAATTACAAGTGGAGCTGGGAGATTCATTTTACTTTGGTCGTTCGAAAGAAATTTACTAAGAAATTTATTTTGGGATACCGTTATAACTGTAGACTAAATATCATGTCAGCGCAACTCCGAGTTCTTGATCTAGGTACTCTTTCTGCACTCGCTTTCAGTACTTTTGTTTTTTGGATCGGCAGTATACTCGTCAAACATCACACAGACGGCTGTTGATGCGACCTGAAAAGTCTGTACCTAGGGGGTGCCACCCATACGATAAAATAAAAATAAAAACTCAATTAAAAGCAACGGAAATGTCTAAAACAAGTACAAATTGTGCACAACTCTTGTGCAGATAAAGAGCATTTTTTTTAACCGAAATAGTTTTTGTTTTGACATCACCAATGGATATATTTCTTGCAGATGTCTCAATCGCCCTTTGTGCGTACCCTCTTCCGACAATCCGTTCTTGAGGTATAAGGGAATATACCCGATCACGATAAGAGGTCGAGTTGGAGGGATATGGTTGGTAGAAATTAATTCCTTTCGTTGGAGTACCATGAAGGATAAAACTAGTTCCACTCCCATAATATCTTGTTATCTAAACTTTCTCTCGTTGGTTTATGTGATCCAATATTTTAATGGATTCGTTCTTATCTCACAAACAGAATTCAAATGGTGAAATAGAAGAACTTCATACCTAAACCAATATATGTCTCATCTGGTGGTTCTCAAGGTGCACATTTAGCTCCACTATTATTCTTAAACGATATAAAAAAATCGTAGCTTTTGATTTTCTCATTTAATGAAATGCATAAAAACAAGTACCATGCAAATTCAAAAACTGCCCGGATACGTTACATCACATCGTATCGTATTGTAACGGAAACGCTCCAGACATGACGTCGCCTTTGGCGCTCTGGAATTTTCTACGCGCGTGGGATTTGTGTAGGAATATTCGAGAATGTACGCGGATGTTCTGGACTTACATTGCTTGCGTGTATAAATGGTTGCCGACCGAACATCGCGGCAGTTTTTACTACCGAACGAAATCGAGCGCGGAAATATAAATTGCGAAGTGTGTGTGATATAAATAATCGATATAAATTGTACGGTTTTTATAGTGTTTTAGTTTTGTTTAATAAATATTGATATACATCGAACCCGAATTTATAAATCACGTTACAGTATCACATTATTTCGTGTAGTACAAACCCTTCTTAATACAATATTTGTTAGTGCAGTTAGAAGACTGTTTATAGACTATTTAATTTTATTTATTTATTTATATCATTATATATTTATCGTATATCATTTTTAGTGCGTGTGCGATTGTTGGGTATTGGTTTCACATTTAATTCGTTGCATTTGTGATTGAGTACCTCATGGTATGTTATACATATTTTGTCAATTACGTGGATATCAATGCGAATTTCTGCGATTCACAAAAGGCTCTTATGATTTAAGTACTTCTTTGGAACGTTTCACTCACTCTTTTTTAGCGAAAAGCTAAAATGCAGGCATTGTAAACGCAATGTATGTTACTTCTTTTTGGTGTTTACTTCTAACGCCACGCTTAAGAAAGTCATGGAATGCCGTTCCTTCTTCCAGCGCTAGTTTATCGATCAAGCGGTACGATTTATACGGAACTCGTACAATGTCAAAGTCCTCGAACGCGCATTGTACTACTGCAAGGTGCGTAATTAAATTCGCAGAACTAACAAAATAAAGACGGAAACCGGCGCCTGAAGTTTCTTACCCAAAATTTGACGTACCTATTCAGCGAATGGGGGTTTTGGGTGTAGAAATTGTCACTTTCAAGTTGGAATTGGGATACGGTTACGTCTAATGTTACATTAAGTGGCATCACATGCTACTTGGCAGAGTTTAGTTTCCACTGTAGTCTATACTTATACTTGAGCAAAAATGGTTTCTTTGATATAATAATATAAGTGTACCTAATGAACATATTATGAATTCTATCTCACATTCGGCCCTGTGATGTATTACTAACGTTAAACTTAACGTGCAGGTATCTCGAGAAAACGTTATTTTTCCCATACTTAATCACGCAAAATAACGTTTTTAACCTGCACGTTAAGTTCGACGCTTTTGGTACATCACATGGTCGATTTTATTTAGTAATTTTTTAATCTTTAAACAACGTTCATCCCGTAATTACCTCACAAGTTTCATAAAGGAGCTATGAAAAGTTTCACATTTCTGAAGAATTTACCCTTGGGAACCTGTAAAGTACCAGAGGAATGAATCTCTGAAAAATTTCTTATGACCCAAGAAAAACTCTATGAAGTGCATTTTTGCTGAAACTGTGGCAAATTCTTTAAGATTACCTGCGATATGTTTATACTAGATGGCCGAGGCTCCGTTCGGCCGCTCTATCTATATACAAGGCTTTCATTTTAAAACGAACCATCGATTGTAATTTGTAACAATTTCCAATCGGTGGTTTGTTTCAGTTACATCTCATGTTCATCAAATCCCCACCTTGTTTAATTAATTAAGCTTTATACAAGCTAATAAATAAATCCAAATTGACTCATTGCAAGAGATCGTTTGGAAAGCCATCGTTTTGGAGGTGGCCGATAAAGTTACGCGAAATAATTAATCAAGCGCTACGGGAGACAACCCCTACTAAATGCAAAGTTGGAAATTATAAATTGGGTGACAATTTTAATGGTGAATTTATTAGGTGTACTATAACTTAAAGTTAGAGAAGTCTTCCTGCACAAATTGCGGTTGTGCAAATTTTGGAAAGTTTAACGTAATAAATTCGTAAATTTTGGCTGTTGAACCATCGACGTCGCGTCGCTGAAACGCTTAAAAACGTAAATACGTCACTACTGAAAATTACATCATTGCGATTTCTAGATGGCCTTATCCGACAGGATGTCGCCGTAACGTGGATATTTTAGTTGGGTAATTAGTTAGAAAAACCAAAGAGATGAGTGGGTAATTAGAAAATGATCACCAAGCAAATTGGTTAAGTATGAAGGTTCAACGTCGAAAAGGAGGTCTTTCCATGTTTCTGGAGATAATCGCTACTTCAGAGGTATTAAGTAAGGATTATAATATTCATTTCGGCAGGGAAACAAGTAAGTTTTTTCTTTACAATTGTGAAACTTGTTATATAAACTTAACAGGAAAAGGGCATTATAAATTCCATCCAAACAGAATAATAAACGTTTAAGGGTTTTACGAGATTGAAGTCGGGGATTTTTATTTTTAGAACTTTCAATCGAACCCGCCGTTAGTTGCCACAATCCCTTTCGCCACTAAATTCTTGTCACGTCTTGAAGGATCTGTAATCAATTTTCTAAACTGATCAAAGTCTAATTCTGTTACAGACCAAAATGGATCAAACTATAACGGCTTGACGGAAACTGTAAAAAAGCACAATGGCGAATACGGCACATTTTGTACGTCAGCAGAGCTCAACGCACCTCAACCCCCAACGTTCCCTGGACCGTCTGGAGATGAGGGAGCTTAGGGGACGTCTCGTAATCGAAAACGGCAATACTGCGAGTTACGGCGCGACGAATTTGGCGTTCGAGGACACGAGTCCGAATGCGAAATTGAAATCGGCGAGCAGCAGCAAGAGGGGCTCGCAGGACGGTAAGCCGATTTTTCGACCGGAATGCGGTGAGGAGGAGCGCGAGTCGTGGGACAGCAAGCTTACGTTTCTGCTCGCGACCGTCGGGTACGCCGTTGGGCTCGGCAACGTGTGGAGGTTTCCGTATTTGGCGCAGAAGAACGGCGGCGGTGCGTTTTTAATTCCATACTTCGTTATGCTCGCCATCGAAGGGATTCCGATTTTCTATTTGGAGCTCGCCATTGGACAACGATTGCGAAAGGGAGCGATTGGAGTGTGGAATCAAGTCTCCCCGTACCTTGCAGGTAAAGCTTATCTTATTAGTAAATTCCAAAAGTTAACTCCAGCCTGAAAAGTATAAGATGGCGCCCGCAGTGCAAAATGTGGGGCCCTGGTGGTTCTCGCAATTTTTTTTTAAATCGTACCACACCGAGTTGCTGATTTCTTTACATTCATTATTATTCTATTGTTCCAATGGCGGATTGTAAAAGAAGGCGGCCATTAATTAATTCCTATTGGTTAAAGTTTTTAGTACTACCAATCGCAACTAGATCTAAGTTCATCAATTATTTTGCAAAAAAAAGGTACGGTACTTTTGCGTTATGCTGATCTCAGCAATGAAAGGTTAGATCCCCTTGCCTCCAAGAAAACTCACCTCCTGACTTTGCGGCCCCAAGAAAACCTCGGAGAGCTCCCAGAAGATTTTCCTTCTACGCACCAAAATTAATAAGAAAAAGAGTTTTCCTGAGAAATTTTGGTGTAGTCGATTTTTGGTAAAAAAAAAGGAAGGTTATACACAGTTCCAAGATTGGGCTACTAGTTCAAAAGTTACAGCCCTTTGAATTTTCTTTCGAAATTGGTTTCTAGTCCATAACTTTTGATTGAGAAGTCTGATTGAAAAAGTACGAATTGTTTTGTATTCTACGCACCAAAATTAATAAGAAAAAGTGTTTTCCCGAGAAATTTTGGTGCAGTCGATTTTTGGTAAAAAAGGAAGGTTATACACTGCCTTTTTTTTGCCCCGAAAAAAAAATTGTCTCAGATCGACCCGGAAAAAAATTTTCTTATAGAATGTGGCCCGTAGAATCCATAATTTCAAACAGTTCCAAGATTGGGCTACTAGTTCAAAAGTTACAGCCCTTTGAATTTTTTTTCGAAATTGGTTTTCTAGTCTATAACTTTTGATTGAGAAGTCTGATCGAAAAAGTACGAATTGTTTTGGATTCTACGCACCAAAATTAGTAAGAAAAAGTGTTTTCCCGAGAAATTTTGGTGTAGTCGATTTTTGGTAAAAAAGGAAGGTTATACACTGCCTTTTTTTGAGGCTCGAAAAAAAATTGTCTCAGATCGACCCGGAAAAATATGTTCTTATAGAATGGGGCCTGTAGAATCCATAATTTCAAACAGTTCCAAGATTGGGCTACTAGTTCAAAAGTTACAGCCCTTTGAATTTTCTTTGGAAATTGGTTTCTAGTCCATAACTTTTTGATTGAGAAGTCTGATCGAAAAAGTACGAATTGTTTTGGATTCTACGCACCAAAATTAATAAGAAAAAGTGTTTTCCCGAGAAATTTTGGAGTAGTCAATTTTTAGTAAAAAAGGAAGGTTAAGTATTGAAATACTATGCGAAGTATTCAAATACTAAATATTTGTAAAAGTATTTGAGTTACAAATACAAATACTGCTTCCATAAAAGTATTTAATTACAAAGTATTTGAATACTTTAAAGGATTTGAATACTAAAAAGTATTTACAAAATCGAATACTGCCCAGCTCTGCTTTTATTCATACGGGCCAATGTCTCGGTCTTTAAAAGGAAACCTTCTTTTGTAATAAATATTTGGGAAATTGATTTCCATTTTCGCTGAAAAGCTTTTCCCTGCAGAACGCAATTGCAAACATGTAGCGGGCTGTTAGCTGATCAAAGCCAGGTAGTACTCCATCCCTTAAAAAGGAAAGGTTTATCCTCGTACCACTCCCTTTACAAAGTCTAAATAAGTCGAAGTAAAATATGTGCTATAAATAAAATGAGTACGTCCTTCGCTTTCCCTCAAGCGAATTTTTCAAACTGATAAAATGGAAATTTAATTTGTTTACATCATCTCGTTTAGCTGATTGTGGAAATGGGGTGAACACTCATTGTCTAACTAAAATGCTTGAGGACGTTGTTATGCAAAATTCCCTATTATAGACAGTTCAATTACATTTTATCAACTTTCCAAAGGAAATGAGCCGCCTCTCTATTTCGGCTATCGGTAGTATGTGTTACTTTTACCATCGATCGTAATTAAGTATACGAAAATAACTTCGTCCAATTATATTTAATCCTCCATTATTGGCGGAGATTATCCACGACGGTAAAATGAATCGTTACCTACTGTCCTTCAAGTGCCTCTAAAGGAGGACGAGTAAAAGTTAATGGCTCATTTGTTGCCTTCACCAAATTTACATCAATTTGATGGATTACTCAATCTAATTCGCAACACGTCGACGTACGAGTTGGAAATTTAAAGTATTTGAACAGATTAAATTCGCATCGGTGGCATTTGCAGATTATCAGTCAACATTTGTATAGGCAAATCATAATTTACCTACAACAAACCCTGTTATAACAAAATTGGTAGCATGAATCTAAATGTATAAAGTCTTAAATTGAATTTAGTAAAAATCTCACGTCCACGTTTTGAATATTATAATTTAGCTGTGAATACATTATTGCCTGTAAGAAAATTAAGATCAAAGAGCACATCTTAAAGCTGCGTGTGACAAGAATAAAACAACAAAATATTTTGGGGTTACTCCGAGCCAAGGGTAGGATAGCAGTCCTTTCAAAAACCGCGGCGTGTGACGGAAACGCTTTGATACGGTACGTTTGGAGTTTCGAGTTTATATGCTATTGCAAGGCAATCGATGCAATGTTTACTTTGATTAGGGGATGAAAACACGAGAAAATTTCTGGGAAACAACTTTCAGAGGATGTTTTTAGGGGCCAAGGTGTTGTGGAAGGGAATGATCATATATTTAATCGTGCATCTACCTACAACTTTCCTAGTGGGATTGGGTAAAAACATTTTTTCCCTAAGGGATATTGCCAAGAAATTCACAAAATGGCCTCCCACAACACCGGTCCATTGAAGCTATTTACGGATACTTAAAAGTGATTTCCGAAAAACTTAAATTTTATCCTTTCGTCCCTTAGCGTGACAGTAACATCTTTATCTCCAACTTTAAAGGGCTTCAACCGACAAAGTGACTAATCTTGGAAAGGTTTTCTTTCTATCTCGAAAAGAGATTACAAAATCGTTGTAAATTCTAGAACCATGTCCTTCGGTGCCTAATGGCCAATTCCATGGAATTATTGCATTCAAAATTTTCAGCTATAGCACCAAAGGGTGAAGAAATTAGTGCGACTCCCAAATAACATAAATTTGACATTATAAAAAAACAAGAAAACTAAATAATTGCAAATACAGGACGACCTAATTAAAAATTGTATATTTATATAGAAATTTATTATATAAATTTACACCTTTCCAACATTCTGATGGGTTGCTGGGAAATAAAGGATACAATACAAATTGGAACATGCACTTTTTTAAATGAAATAAACATCCATTACAGAAAAAATGTCTACCCTTTCAAACAAAACAGGCCGCTGCGGTCTAGCTAAACCTTTTTGACCTGCGTGAAGACAGCAACCAAAGATAGTGACCGTTTCTCCGGGGTAGTTATCACTTTCTAGTTTGTGCAGAAAAATACTGCTATACATATCCAATAAACAAATGCAAAAATAATTTCTTGCACCCCTTGCGCCACATAGAAATCCACCCCCAATGTGTTTATAAATCGAATACGGCAAAACGCGGGTAGTTATCACTTTCTAGTTTGTGCAGAAAAATACTGCTATACATATCCAATAAACAGATGCAAAAATAATTTCTTGCAATCCCTTGCGTCACATAGAAATCCACCCCCAATGTGTTTATAAATCGAAAACGGCAAAACGCGGGTAGTTGTCACTTTGTAGTTTGTGCAGAAAATACTGCTATACATATCCAATAAACAGATGCAAAAATAATTTCTTGCAGCCCCTTGGGTCACATAGAAATCCATCATCAATGTGTTTATAAATCGAATACGGTAAAACGAGGGTAGTTATCACTTTCTAGTTTGTGCAGAAAAATACTGCTATACATATCCAATAAACAAATGCAAAAATAATTTCTTGCAACCCCTTGCGTCACATAGAAATCCACCCCCAATGTGTTTATAAATCGAATACGGCAAAACGCGGGTAGTTATCACTTTCTAGTTTGTGCAGAAAAATACTGCTATAAATATCCAATAAACAAATGCAAAAATAATTTCTTGCAACCCCTTGCGTCACATAGAAATCCACCCCCAATGTGTTTATAAATCGAATACGGCAAAACGCGGGTAGTTATCACCTTCTAGTTTGTGCAGAAAAATACTGCTGTACATATCCAATAAACAAATGCAAAAATAATTTCTTACAACCCCTTGCGTCACATAGAAATCCACCCCCTATGTGTTTATAAATCGAATACGGCAAAACGCGGGTAGTTATCACTTTCTAGTTTGTGCAGAAAAATACTGCTGTACATATTCAATAAACAATTGCAAAAATAATTTCTTGCAACCCCTTGCGCCACGTAGAAATCCACCCCCAATGTGTTTATAAATCGAATACGGCAAAACTCGGGTAGTTATCACCTTTTAGTTTGTGCAGAAAAATACTGCTGTACATATCCAATAAACAATTGCAAAAATAATTTCTTATAACCCCTTGCGTCACATAGAAATCCACCCCCTATGTGTTTATAAATCGAATACGGCAAAACGCGGGTAGTTATCACTTTCTAGTTTGTGCAGAAAAATACTGCTATACATATCCAATAAACAGATGCAAAAATAATTTCTTGCAACCCCTTGCGTCACATAGAAATCCACCCCCAATGTGTTTATAATTCGAATACGGCAAAACGCGGGTAGTTATCACTTTCTAGTTTGTGCAGAAAATTACTGCTATACATATCCAATAAAAAGATGCAAAAATAATTCCTTGCAACCCCTTGCGTCACATAGAAATCCACCCCCAATGTGTTTATGATTCGAATACGGCAAAACGGGGGTAGTTATCACTTCCTAGTTTGTGCAGAAAAATACTGCTATACATGTCCAATAAAAAGATGCATAAATAATTTCTTGCAACCCCTTGCGTCACATAGAAGTCCACCCCCAATGTGTTTATAAATCGAATACGGCAAAACGGGGGTAGTTATCACTTTCTAGTTTGTGCAGAAAAATACTGCTATACATATCCAATAAACAGATGCAAAAATAATTCCTTGCAACCCCTTGCGTCGCATAGAAATCCACCCCCAATGTGTTTATAAATCGAATACGGCAAAACGGGGGTAGTTATCACTTTCTAGTTTGTGCAGAAAAATACTGCTATACATATCCAATAAACAGATGCAAAAATAATTTCTTGCAACCCCTTTCGTTACATAGAAATCCACCCCCAATGTGTTTATAAATCGAATACGGCAAGACGGGGGTAGTTATCACTTTCTAGTTTGTGCAGAAAAATACTGCTATACATATCCAATAAACAGATGCAAAAATAATTTCTTGCAACCCCTTGCGTCACATAGAAATCCACCCCCAATGTGTTTATAAATCGAATACGGCAAAACGCGGGTAGTTATCACTTTTTAGTTTGTGCAGAAAAATACTGCTATACATATCCAATAAACAAATGCAAAAATAATTACTTGGGAACCCCTTGCGTCACATAGAAATCCACCCCAATGTGTTTATAAATCGAATACGGCAAAACGCGGGTAGTTATCACTTTCTAGTTTGTGCAGAAAAATACTGCTATACATATCCAATAAACAAATGCAAAAATAATTTCTTGCAACCCCTTGCGTCACATAGAAATCCACCCCCAATGTGTTTATAAAATTAATACGGCAAAACGGGGGTGGTTATCACTTTCTAGTTTGTGCAGAAAAATACTGCTATACATATCCAATAAACAAATGTAAAAATAATTTCTTGCAAACCCTTGCGTCACATAGAAATTCACCCCCAAAGTGTTTATAAAATTAATACGGCAAAACGGGGGTGGTTATCACTTTCTAGTTTGTGCAGAAAAATACTGGTATACATATCCAATAAACAAATGCAAAAATAATTTCTTGCAACCCCTTGCGTCACATAGAAATTCACCCCCAAAGAGTTTATAAAATTAATACGGCAAAACGGGGGTGGTTATCACTTTTTGATTTGTGCAGATAAATGCTGCTATACATACCCAATATACAAATGCAAAAATAATTTCTTGCAACGCTTTGGGTCACATAGAAATCCACCCCCAAAAGGTGTACAAAATTAATACGGCAAAACGGGGGTTGTTATCACTTTCTAGTTTGTGCAGAAAAATACTGCTATACATATCCAATAAACAAATGCAAAAATAATTTCTTGCACCCCTTGCGCCACATAGAAATCCACCCCCAATGTGTTTATAAATCGAATACGGCAAAACGCGGGTAGTTATCACTTTCTAGTTTGTGCAGAGAAATACTGCTATACATACCCAATAAACAAATGCAAAAATAATTTCTTGCAAACCCTTGCGTCACATAGAAATTCACCCCCAAAGTGTTTATAAAATTAATACGGCAAAACGGGGGTGGTTATCACTTTCTAGTTTGTGCAGAAAAATACTGCTATACATACCCAATAAACAAAGGCAAAAATAATTTCTTGCAACCCCTTGCGTCACATAGAAATCCACCCCCAAAGTGTATATAAAATTAATACGGAAAAACGGGGGTAGTTATCACTTTCTAGTTTGTGCAGAAAAATACTGCTATATTTAAACAATGCTGCTATACATACCCAATAAACAAATGCATAAATAATTTCTTGCAACCCCTTGCGTCACATAGAAATCCACCCCCAAAGTGTTTATAAAATTCATACGGCAAAACGGGGGTGGTTATCACTTTCTAGTTTGTGCAGAAAAATACTGCTATACATATCCAATAAACAAAGGCAAAAATAATTTCTTCGCATAGGAAATCATTTGGATAGCAATTGGAGCTTTACAATGGCGTTGCAATGTAAAAATTAAATTAAATTTTGCGAAATCCAAAGCTGAAAGTGCTTGACCGAGAAAATCAGCTTATTTGTTGAAAATGAAGCTTTGAGATTGAGGGCTTGAAGTTTCCAAAATCTTATGGATCTTGAAAAACAGTTCATAACCTATCACAAACTTTTAATTTTTCAGGAATTGGAATTAGTAGCGCAGTCGTATCATTTAACGTGGCCCTTTATTACAACACAATAATTGCATGGTGCTTATTCTACTTCGCTCAAAGTTTTCAATCAGAATTGCCTTGGTCGGAATGTCCGAAAGTTTATTTCAAAAACGGTTCCTACATCAGAGACCCCGAGTGCGTCGTAAGTATCGCGAACGCTCGCAAGGTTGAAGTACTAAACGCGCATTTACAGGTCAGCAGCCCCACGCAGTACTTCTGGTATCGGACGACGCTGATGATCGCCGAGGACATCAACACCCCCGACGCTTTTAATTGGAAGATCGCTTTAGCGCTGGTGATCGCCTGGATATTGGTGTACTTGTGCATGATTAAAGGGATAGCGTCGTCTGGGAAGGTGGTTTATGTCACGGCCACGTTCCCCTACATTGTGTTAATCATCTTCTTTTTTCGTGGAGCTACGCTTACGGGCGCCGGGGACGGCGTCAAGCACTTGTTCACGCCCAAGTGGCATACGATTCTCGATCCGGTCGTTTGGCTCGAGGCCGGAACGCAAATTTTTTTTTCGCTCGGGCTCGCTTTCGGCGGCCTTATCGCTTTCTCGTCCTACAATCCCGTAAACAACAACTGCTATCGCGACGCCGTCATGGTCTCCCTGACGAACTGTTTCACGTCGATGTTCGCGGGAATTGTCGTGTTTTCGGTGATTGGATTTAAAGCGACAATGGTACATCAGCAATGTCTTAAAGACCGCAATATTAGCTTTAGCGAAATTTTTGGTGCAGATTACAATTTAGAACATCTTCCGCCGGAAGGTACGCTTTACAATTACACGTCGGACGGCGTTCAGAGGAGCGTCGTAATTCCGCCGTATCCCGAATGCAATTTGGAAAAGGAACTGGATAACGTGAGTAAATTATTCATTTGTACGGCCTAATTTGATAATTACAGTTCGTTTCAGTCTGCCTCCGGAACAGGGCTGGCGTTTATTATATTTACCGAAGCAATTAATCAATTTCCGGGAGCGCAGTTTTGGTCCGTTCTGTTCTTTCTAATGCTCTTCACTTTGGGAATTGACTCTCAATTTGGAACGTTGGAGGGCGTTGTGACTTCCATCGTGGATATGAAGCTATTTCCTAATCTACGAAAGGAAATTCTAACAGGGGCCTTGTGTTTATCATGTTGCCTTATATCGATGGGTTTCGCACATGGAGCTGGCAGTTACGTCTTCGTCCTTTTCGATAATTTTAGCGGAAATTTTCCATTGTTGATCATTGCGCTTTGTGAGTGTCTTGCTGTCTCGTACGTCTATGGATTGAAACGGTAAGTTTTTCGTGGTGGCTTCCGCTCCTTTGACATGGCCGGTTCAGTTTCGCAGACGACATCGAGATGATGACGGGGTCGCGCCCTGGACTGTACTGGATGATATGCTGGAAGTACCTGTCGCCTTTGGCGATGATCTCCATACTGGTTGCGAGCATTGTCGAGATCGTCGTCGACGGTTCTGGGTACGATGCGTGGGTTCCTTCGAAGGGAATAACGGAGCGATTGGGATGGCCTCCGTGGGCTATCGTTTTAAGCGTCTCGCTTGTACTTATCTGTATCTTATGGATTCCTGCCACTGCCATCTGTAGGTAAGAACAATGTCTGGCCCGATCAGTACCGCGAGCCTAACCCCAATGTTCCAGACTGTTTGGAATAATAATAATCGACGACAATAATAAGGCCTGGTTTCCCGCTGCAGATCTGAAAGAATTCCACGGCATAATGCCGCACGAAGTTACTACTGCCGAAACTTTATTATTTTGTATTAGAAGCGACGGTACTGAAGGTCTGTGCTGCCCTACGAGCTACCTAATTGACGAGTATGAGGAGGAAGCTTAGTTCACCAAGTAGAATAATTTGCCATTTTTTTATGTACAGATTTTTTCTTATACATGTACCTGAGTTACGTATTTTTTATAAACACGAAAACGCTATTTGTAGCGCCGCAAAAGAGGCTACTCTCTTAAAATCATGCTCATCTTAAAGCAAGGCTGCAATCATATTTTATATAATGCCCAGAAGACAATAACGAGAGAAAACAATAACTGTACAGACGCCTAGATTTTATTTGCACACAAATTGTGATAAATGCACAAAATTGAAAACAATTATAAAAGGCAGACTCATCTTATCCACTCGTTTTCGTAGTATCTTCATTGTGTTCATCGTCTGTGCATATCGGCAACATATCTATCATTTTTAGGAACCTCTTGAGTGTAAAATATAGAAAGAGGAAAATATATGCCATTTAGAGTCTGTCCTTATACTAGTCAATTTTATTACGAAGTTAAGACAATAATAAATATACTAAATGTGAGCCTAGCAATTAGTAAATGTATAAACTTATGAATCAAAAAACAAAATTTAGTTTAAGATGGAAACGACGACAATAATTTTAGATGACTTCTATATCATGTGCAAACTGCATAGTTATACTCTATTATATTTATTACATAGAGGATGTGTTGACAATAATAATATAAACATTATATTGGTTTTTTGCCCTTACTGTTGCCATTGTTAATACGTAAAGTTGTTGTACTGTAAAAAATGTAAATAAGACACTGTTAATATGTGGAAAATACAATATAGATGTTACGCAATCGAATGTATTCAATTCTTACGCAATTTTGCAATGTCTATCCGTCTGTCCGTTTGCACGATATCCCGAAAATGAATGGACCGATTACGATGAAATTTTGGAGGGGGTTTCTTTATCAAATTTCTAGATCAGGGTTCGTGCATTCGCAATGTAGGCCAAAAAATAAAGAAGGCCCTTTTGACACATCCGTCAGCTATGAATCGAATTGCATGAAATTAAAAGGAGCTTAGCTTTAGTCATATAATACACAATCCCAAGCTATAGCCATACCCAGATTTGGTATATTTGTTTAATTTAGTATCTGTTATTTTCTGATCATCCTCTCAAGTACCTATCCCCACGTTTAATCGGTACCACTTTTAAAAAAGAAGCTAAAAAGATTCCACCCAAACTTAAAATTGAAAAATGGAGGTATTAGAGTGTTTTCCAAATAAATAGCATTATGTGGGTCACTCTGTAATTGGGCGCATGTCTGTTGAGGGCCCAAAACAAGAGGGATAATAAAGTAAAATAAAAAACTGTACGAAAATGTTTCTGTTTATTACAAATTAGAAAGTATGTATACATTACTTGTAATATAATGTATGTACTTGGGAATGAACAACAAATTTATCTTGCTGCTGTAGTGCATATTGGTAATTCTTCTTATTTAACTTTTCACAATATAAATTTGCAAACCTTGGATTTCTGGGTTGGCTCTTTTACTTGGAATTCTGTTTCTTATACAGGGTGCTGGGATTTCGGTTATTTGAAGAGATACAATGGGGCAAATTTGCGTATTTTGGTCCCGGCTTTTTTTTTATTTCTGATCTACAAAGTATATTAAAAATAAAAAGACGTGTGTGTCCTCAATTTTTATTTGCAAGTAAAATTAACCCAAAATAAATTATTGAAAAGCTGTGTTTTATGCCGAATTTGAAATGCTTCGATCTAACACGTCACAAACCTACAGCCAATCACGTGGAAGTGAGCCGGCAACCTTGTGCGAGGGTCTGGCGTTTGTCGGATTTGACGTTTTAAGAGGCATGTTTAACTGCATCTAACGAAAAAGTAAACAACATGTGACAAGTGCCTGTTACAGGTGACGCAAGTTACAAATGACATTCTCCTGCAATATTGCCAATTCGTTATGTCATCTGTACGGTTCTAGGAGCTGATTGGTCGGGCAAAAAGTGGACACAGCAGGACTTTTAATAAATTGTTACGAAATAAAGGAATTTTTATTGGATTTTCGGAAGAGGCACCTTATATCCCATGGTGAAATCTCGATGAACTAAGATGCGACAGTGGCGTCATAAGATCCTTAGTGATATCTTGATGAACTAAAAAGCGACGGTGGTGCCATAAATCCCCTGGTGAAATCTCGATGAACTAAAAACCGACGGTGGCGCCATAAATCCCCTGGTGCAATCTTGATGAACTAAATAGCGACGGTGGCGACATTTAAGCCGCTGGTGAAATCTCGATGAACTAAAAAGCGACGGTGCCGCCATTTAAGCCGCTGGTGAAATCTCGATGAACTAAAAAGCGACGGTGGCACCGTTTAAGCCCCTGGTGAAATCTCAATGAACTAAAAAGCGACGATGGAGACATAAATGCCCTGGTGAAATCTCGATGAACTAAAATGCGATGGTGGCACCATAAATCCACTGGTAACTTTTGAACTAGTAGCCCAATCTTGGAACTGTTTGAAATTATGGATTCTACAGGCCACATTCTATAAGAAAATTTTTTTTCCGGGTCGATCTGAAACAATTTTTTTTTCGGGGCTCAAAAAAAGGTAGTGTTATGCCTTCCTTTTTTACCAAAAATCGACTACACCAAAATTTCTCGGGAAAACACTATTTCTTATTAATTTGGGTGCGTAGAATCCAAATCAATTCGTACTTTTTCGATCAGACTTCTCAATCAAAAGTTAATTTTTCTTCGGGGTTCAAAAAAAGGCAGTGTATAACCTTCCTTTTTTATTCCTTCCTTTCCTTTATTCCTTTCGCCTCGAAATGTACCTACTAGTTTAGGTTATTCGCATCAGTTTCTATTATGATAAATTTTTGAAGCTGTTCCGGGTAGTTGAACACCTTGTATGCACAATTTTGTGGGAGACGATAGAGCCGACCTCCTCGTGGTGTCTCCTGGGTAACGCTAACAGGCTCTTTCAATCATGTGTATGATACCATATATTTTTAATCCGTTATTCATATTAGGTGAATAACATAATATATTCTCTTAATTTTTTGTTGAAGACACAATAAAGTGATTAGAATGAACAATTTATTTTTTATTTCTAATACAGACGATTTAGTCAAATTTTTATAGTTTTGTTTCTGTTGGAATTGGAGAAACACAAAGATCTTGAAGAACTGCTTTCTGGTACGAAAAGGGTCTTTCGATTATGTGTTTATAAAGTTTTATTTTCAAATAAGATGAAACTTTTTTTAAACATTTATTGGCAACGTTAAAAATATAATGACATTAATAAATTATTACAACTCAAACCTAAAACATAAGCGCCTTGCAAGCACAAGAAAAATCCACATACAAAACAGAAGACAAATTAAGTAAAGGGCCCCCTTTTCTTGTATTACTTACGCACCTTCCTTTTTTATAAATTCGAAAAACGAAGCTTCCCCTACCGCAACAGCTGTGTATTTATATTTAATAAATCATTACCTATATTTTGAAGTCTTCTTGGTCTAATATGTGTAACATCCTATCAAAAAACTTGGTATGGTAAAGGAGTTTTTTAAAGATTTAAATTTTTCCCTTCCCCGTTGCTCTAATACTTGCTTTATTCTGATCTCCGTTTCCTGCATCTACATGCCCTCATATCCTCTGCAATTTTCTCCTGCCCTCTCATGTTATCTCCCTTTCCACCATTATTTCGACCTCTTAGGTCTTTTCCTGCCCGTATCTCACTTCTAGCAAAGAGTAATCTACTCTTTGCTTCTATTACTCTCTTGCTGTTGCACCTTTTGCTTGTAGCCTTTCACCTTTTCGCGTCGTCTCCTGGCTTCTTATTTTCTCTCAACCCGCCTGCTTTTTAGCGCATTTTCCAAAAGGAAAATGAACGCTATTGTCTGCACTTTGTCCGTCTGTATCACTACTAGTCCTCCAGTTTAAGCTTTTTCTTATACGGCGTAGTACAACAGCCCAGAGATCAGAACGACAAAAGTTTATTTGGATTGGTCACTTCCTTCCCGAGTTAGGTATTACTGATTCTGTGCGGGGAAACGTTTTTAACTTGTTCCTTTTGTCTTTCATGCCCTCTTTAATGTGTTAATTAATTGAGTTCCGATAATAAAGGGTGTGAATCCTAGGGTGATTTTAAGGAGAAATTGTATATTAACATATGTCCTAAACCTCTTAATTTTTAAGCTACAGCTACAGGGTGTTAAAATTTTAAGAAAAATGTGAGTTTTCTATCATAATTTTTTATCCCTTTTAGATATTTTTATGAAATTTTGTACGCACCTTTTCATCATTCAGGAGCATTTTTTGAGTTAAAAGATTTTTTTTAATTTTCACCAGTGACGTCCTTATGGGGTTTGAACTTACAATTTTGTTTAAGTATTAAGTTTAGGACATACCATTGATTAAATTCTCCATTGGGAAACGTTACTTATGTTGTAATAAATAAATAGAATTGTAGTAACGTTTTATTGATTATTGTTAGGACATACGTTGATATAAACTTTTCTTCTTAAAATTACCCGAGGATTCACACCCTTTATTATCGGCACTCAATTAATTAACACCCTGTTTTTTATGCTATATACTGCCCTCTTCTGCATATCCGTCACCGTCTCCTGTCCTGCTCTCTGCTCTCATGTTGTCTCCTCATATCTCCCGATTTCCCTTTCCTTCTCTCTCTCTCTTCTGTTTCCTTATCCTCTTTCCTGTTCCTTGCTCTGACATGCCCCCTATAGCATTCCTGACTCTCTTGTCTTTTTCTGCCCTCCCCTGTTCTGTATTGTCATATCTCTTGCCTTACCCTGTTCTCCCCCGTTCCTTTTTAGCGCATTTTTGCAAATTTATTTGTAAAAAGTAGCTTTTAATCTCACTTTGGCTGGCTGGCTGGCTGCTGGCTGGCTGGCTGGCTGGCTGGCTGGCTGGCAGCAAATGTGGGCGCGTAGAAGAACTCTTGTAGAAAGGCAACGGGTGTACGTGTATCTACAGGGCCGTGAAATTTGTCAACCTTAGGGACATGGCTACATGATGTGGGGTTGGCGACTTCTGGGCGTCATCCTCGAGCGTAGTATACTAACGTGAAGGTTTTTCAGTTTTTTCCTATTTTCTACTACAGTTTTGGTCCGATTCTTTTGAAATTGGTGTCGTCGGAAAGATGTTGTAAACGCGCACAACTCCTGCGTGGCGGAATTTTGTTTTTTGTCATAGGGGCGAAATTAACGACCTTTTGCGTGGCGCGCGCGCGCGTCTTCGAGAAGTAGTCAACTTCGGGCGCCTTTTACCTTCCGTTGCGAACTCACGCGGTTTAACGTTTCGTAAATCTCGAATCGCTGTCTCTCTTTCTCGTGTCGCCAATGGAAGTGAATTGCGAGTGAACGGGACGTCGGAAGGGGGTACCGTAAAAGAGAATGTGGTAGCCCGCGAACACGAATCTCACATGATGGTGGAGTCAATCTTCAAAATCGCGAATTGCGGCTGAACGGGACGTCGGAAGGGGGTACCGTCAAAGGGAATGTGGTAGCCCCCGACACGATCTTCCTGATGATGGAGTCAAATCTTCAAACGCGAATTGCGGGTGAACGGGACGTCGGAAGGGGGTACCGTCAAAGGGAATGTGGTAGCCCGCGACACGATTTCACTGATGGTGGAGTCAAATCTTCAATCGCGAATTGCGGTTGAACGGGACGTCGTAAGGGGGTACCGTCAAAGGAAATGTGGTAGCCCCTGACACGATCTTCCTGATGATGGAGTCAAATCTTCAAACGCGAATTGCGGGTGAACGGGACGTCGGAAGGGGGTACCGTCAAAAGGAATG